GCTCAGGTACTGTTTGAATTTGCTCTCTTTGTTTTTGCATATATGATGATTCATATATTAAGTTGAAGGCTCGGTGTTTTTACCCCCATTTTTAGGTTGAGTGTGTTGACTCGATATTTATTTATATAACAGATGGGGTCCAACATGAAGAAATCCATATTTGACGAGCAAACCTCGAAAGCCCTCAAGAAGTGGCACATGGCCGTGAAGAAGAAGCACGGGCACGGAAGTCGATCCCCGGGTGGTGCTGGGGCAAGCCCAACATCCTCAATGGGTTCCCCTTTCCACCCGACCCTCCACCGCTTCAAAACAATCGGCCACTCGACCCGGTCAATGGGGTTTGATGATGCATCTGATCTTGATGACCCAGCCACGCCTCCCAAGCCAACAACTAGCTTGATCATACGGGCCAACCCACAGCTCGCGGGCCGTGATGGCCTTCTCGATGTGGATGACACGAGGAATGAGGATGACTTCTCCTTCGCTAAACCTGGGCCCAGTAGCATTGCCAAGTGAAAAGAGGTATAGTAGAGTGTACTCGTTAAGAGAGAATACAACTGAAATTTGTTCATTAGAGTATTCGTTCCGAGAGAATTTGCAAATGTATTTCAAAATGTATCAAATGTGGTGTTTATTTGTGAGAATGAAAAGAAATACAAGTTTTGGTCATTTTCATTTTTATTTTAAATACAAATTAACACTTAATTATACTTTAAAAAGCATTTATAAATATCTTATAACAACCAATAAAAATGAGACAAGTGTCGTATTCCCCATCTACAACCCAAGTGACTTTGGTAGTCCAACTTTATGAATTTTTTTAGCTGGTGACCCAAGAATTAGGTCAATGCTAAAGAGAGTGTAATAATATAAAAATATATTTATTAAAATATAGTTTTTTTAAGAAATAAATAATTTATTATTAATTTATTATTATCATAAATAAAAAAATAACATTAATATATATATATATATATATATATATATATATATTTGTATAAAATAGTGATAAATGATAATTTCATTCCATTCAGGTCTTGTTTCTTGTGTATATGAAACTCATCAGTGGAAAAACTTGTTTCATTTATTTTATATATTCATTCCATTCCAATCAAATTCCATTCTAATGTATTAATCATGCCGTTATTCTCATTCCATTTTAATGTTTTGGCTAATATATGTTTTATTTTACGACCAAAGGAACATATCTGATTCTTCAGGCCCTTGAGTAGCTTCACTCGGGCAAGCCTTCGGGCAGTCGAGTAGGGCAAG